TGTATTTCTTTTGGTCTGCTCAGGATGGACTTTGTGTTTTGTGTAGTTATTTTGTTGTTACAGATATTTTGACTGGGTACTGTGTAACAAGAAGTTGATTCATTACCCATGTAATTTGTTACTACAGTAAGTCAATCTGTTACTCAAGATAATAACTTAAAGTTAATTTCTGATTCAGTAAAACAAGTTAATTCATTACTCAAGATAATAACTTAAAGTTAATTTCTGATTCAGTAAAACAAGTTAATTCATTACTCAAGATAATAAGTCAATTTGTTACTCAGTACAAAAAGTCGATTTGTGTTACTTAAGTTCATCATCACTATAGTTTTGTTTATCTTCCATACGTCCCAGAATTCTTAGTAAATGTAACCATCTAGTTTCAGCAGCCGAGAAAGAACAAAATTATGTTGTAATGCCCTACATGTAAACAGATCTACCCCTACACTTCCCATTGACTTTCACCTCCCAAACCAGACCAGAATCTTATAAGGGCAAATTTAACAGTATAAGTCATCAACATTACAACCCTATCTCCATAAATGATACACCCCCTGTTGGTTATGTTAAATTTTTTGAAACCTCCACATTATTCAACCACACCTCAGGCCACCCCCCGGCCTTCAATACCCCCTTCAGCTAGCATCTATTTTAAACTGTATGCTTCGAACACCTGTATGGTTATTAGCAATGCGAGTCATCTTGCATGTCATACACCCAAAATGGTCAACACTTCAAAGTTTAAATATTACAAAATACAACAAAAGGTATAATAGTGATTACATTTGTTTCTAAAGGGCAAGGTGGTTATAGTTCTGCTATGTTATACTAATGTTTCTATACTATTACCGGATTCGGCTGATACCCCGCCCATCCTAAACCCCACTCATGGGCGATGTTTTGGTCCACACATTGCCTGACTGAACCAACAAACATTTTTACAGACCCCAATTTTCCCGTCCGACATCTTGCATCGAGCGCGCTATTTCAAATATGACGCTAAAAATAATTCACTGTGAAGTCGAAACGCGTAAAAATCTAATAAATCCAATGCTGTATACAAATTGTTGTTGCATGAAAAATGGTATATGTTTGTATTTCATGCAAGTATTTATCACCAATTTCAAGAGTAAAAGTCGTAACTTTAGAAGGTACGAGTATTATGACTCGTGAATACATTTCACTTACGCTTATTACACTCAAATAAAGTCTGCGCTTGAAATGAATGCTATTTACAAAGTTTGAAATACCCAAGCCTTCCTGATTCGAGCCTCTTGGTTGATTTGACAACGGTAGGTATCATTAATGTTTAATCTTTGTCAGTATCGCATTCCTGACAAAAAGTTCTCAAGATAGATAAACAGGAAATTGGCGAACTAAAATGTTTCTAGTGTTTCACATGCGACATGATTATTAAAAAACACAGAGTTAAGCGGTCGTGTACGTTCTAGAAATCTAACCTTGCACACATAATCTTGTATTTGATGTGTTTTTTTGTTTTTTTTCCAAAAAAGACATTCCCTTTCAGTAAACTCTTCGCGTTCGTGGTATTTGTGAGAGTTGAAAGATTTTTTGAACACATGACAAGTAACTATATTAATTTGGGTGAAGCTGAGTGACCGAAATTTAAATATCAGTGCGTGAATTCTGGAGGTCATTGCCCAATGCCGCACGTAATTCAAACACATCGTTAGTAGAGTTCAGTCGAAATGTATGTGAATAATGCGATTGAAGTGTGCTGCCCAGAGTTTATTATATTACATATTCACTTCATTTCGAATAAAATCATTCAATATTGGGAACTTTGATGAATCACAAGACACCTGACTATGATTTAAATGCGCCCATGTTTATGTTTGTGTAATTATTAAGGGTGCAACGCAGTATAAAGTCGGTAATATAAATTACTTGAGTTTGCATAATTTTTATGAAAGCATAACAAAGTTGAAATTTTCAGAGCCGGTACAATATTGTAAACAAATTCGCGTTATTAAAAAAGCAGCACACCAAGTAAACGATGTTGATATATTCAAAGCCAGAGTTGCAGACAAGTTATGTGATTACAGTATCGTCGGATATAATAAAAATTTTACTAGACCGATGCGCAGCAACAGTTTGTAAAGAAGTACTTGAAGTTCAATTGCGCCAAAAATTATTTCGCTGATTACTCGGTTGTCGCAGCGTGTGTTGTGTCATGATGCATCCCATTTCGACTTTGGCTTGCTTTTCCTTCTTGTTCACGTAATACAATCTCTCACCAATGTATTAAAACACTTTGAATTTATACTTTGCATGATTATATTTGGTCAAAGAAAAACATTATTTTTTCTGAATGTTTTCTGAACCATTTTTTATCAGTGCATGGTTATTTTTCCAGACAAGATGGGCTTCGTAATATCTGCCATAACATCGCCCTGGCGATCTTTTGGTCCACATTTTTCTTAAAAAAAATTGAATCTACCATAAGATCGCCCAGGGCGGGGTATCAGCCGAATCCGGTAGTTAATTAATAGCAAGTGCAGCAATAGTGCTCTAAGACCAAAATTTATTCCAGCGAAAATAAAGTATTCCACAGTATTATTTGTGCGCCAGCTGACTGTGGATCTGATGTATATCACGCAAGGAGTGCCTAGGGTTTGTTTGAAACTATTTTGAAGTCTATCGTCGATCAACACGTTTTTCAGTTGCAAATAGATCGTTATAATAACTTTGTTACTAAATAATGATAACCAAAAACATTGAAATATTGTAAAAATAAACTGGACCCAAAATTGTGTAAATTTGCAATCAGTTTACACTAGTTAGTTCCTGGTTTGGAAAGCATTGATTATATTGCGATCAAGGACGTTGAAACCTGAAGTTTTGAACTTCAAACTTAAATGTTATTATCTTTACTAAGTGTCAGTTTCTGCTGTTCTGAAGATTGAATTATGTATGACATTAATACTTTACTTACTAAACAATATTTCACTAAAATATGTGATTAAAAAGTAACTTAAATTGTAAAAAGAAGTATCAAGTTCCGTGTATAAACACTCGTGTAAAAAAGTGGTGAAATGCTATTTTAGCAAAAATTGGTAAGGCGTCATATGACACAGGTCTGTGCTAAGACGAATGTTTACTCCCAATGTTCACTTGCCTCGACATTCTATGATTATGTCAGTTCTACTTTTAGTAAATCAATAAACTACTCTGCTGTACTTGCTTGGTCCTACTAATTACTGCCCGGAACTCAAGTGCCCGGGACGAAATGGGACTACTCGTGACCGATATTTAACTATTCAAGACAGGAATTTGACTGATCAAAACTATACCCAGCTAAAAATCTCCTCAATGTTTGAGTCTTTTCTGCTTTTTTTCTGGCCGTGTAGAATTGATACTCACATTAACAACGTCCATTTTGACCATACCATTATTCTGGTGGGGTGTGAAGCATGGAACTACAGTTTAATCATAATATATAATGCATTTGTTTCTTATATTTTGTTACAGATTATGGCAGATGACATAAATATCAAAGTGTCTCACATTGGTTTTGAGAATTAAAAACTGATTGGATCCAAATTTTTTTAAAATTATTATTTTATTTTTGTTGTAAAATGTCAAAAACATAATTTGTTAATAATTGATATTTAAGCAATATGTATTATTACGTGACTGTATATAAAATAAACTTTGAATACACAGATTATACACAAGAGTATAGACCTATCCCTTCTGCAGTAGGTCGACACCCCCCCTCCCACTGTGGAATAACTGCGGGATAATATCATGCTTCAACAAGTTGCCTGCATTGTCTTGCGCCATAGACGAATGGCGTCTACCGTATTTATCTGGGTAAGAGCCCATGCCCGGACAAACACCCACCCCGACTTTTGACACAATAAAAAAGTTGAGGTCATAACAAAAACCTATTTTCTTTTCATTGTCTGTGGTTGTATTAACAGTTGACTTTCTTGCAGTATCTTGTGATGCTTATAAACATTATTTAAAAATAATTGTAAAACAAGGGTAGAATGTAAAATACCGGTAGCTATGACAGCAAAATGGGTATTTCGCTTTCTGTCTTCAGGCAGCACGTTCACCGTCAGCAAGTCTATAAAAATGTATATTAAAGCAGAAACGGTAGTTTTGGACAATTTTCCCAGCAGCAAACACAAGTAATGTCTGATGACTAACTGCACTTTAATTCATGTGAAAAACATTCAACCTTTATACTACAGCAATGGTAGTGCAAAGTTGCATGTCGCAACATTTATGCAAATATGTGCGTGAAACATTCCACGATCGTACTACCAACTTTCATAACGTACGTTAATTAGTATTATCACTGCGTGTCTACAGGACATTCGTGTTACTCTTGAAAATAAATTCTAGATGTTTGACATGTCGCCATCGACTTACAATTGAACGAATTACAGTATGCTAGAAAATCTTCTAATGATTAATAGTACTGAAACATTTGAAAGTAAACTCAAGAAGTTGTGGTCGCTTGGCATGTGGTTGTTCTCATTAACGCAATCTTGGACTCAACCTTTCACGCAACCATTAATTAATTGAACTGCAGCAAACTTGCCAACCGTAGTAGTGTGTCATTAAATTTTCATTGTTTTAGGTGTAATTTACCGACCTACAGTGAACTTGCCAAGTAGTGAAGTCATTCAATCTATGAAATTATGCATCCACACTTGTGGAAACTGCTGTTAAAGTGGAGAAGATCTTGCTACGTAACACTCCTGCCACTCAAGCACGTACTGAAGAATTGGTGCTAGGGTTGATGCCTGTTGACGTCATAGCGAGAAGCCTGTTGTGATTGACTTGTCTGTTAATGATACAGGAGACTCACCATACTTATCGTATGCAGAAGTCATAAGACAACAGACATATGTGATTCAAGCATCACCCATCGATGACATTTCAACTAACAGCCAGACAAGCAATCAATCATTATCCTGTGAGCAAGTGAACCAGTATTCAATCTACACCCACCAGTCACCGACCCTGTCTTCGCGATCCAGTTCACCAATCCTGTCTTCGCAATCCAGTTCACCAATCCTGTCTTCGCGATCCAGTTCACCAATCCTGTCTTCGCGATCCAGTTCACCAATCCTGTCTTCGCGATCCAGTTCACCAAACCTGTCTTCGCGATCCAGTTCACCGACCCTGTCTTCGCGATCCAGTTCACCGACCCTGCCTTCGCGATCCAGTTCACCGACCCTGCCTACGCAATCCAGTTCACCAATCCTCTTTGCAATCCAGTTCACCGACCCTGTCTTCGCGATCCAGTTCACCGACCCTGTCTACGCGGTCAAGTTCATGAAACCTGTCTTCGCCACCGAGTTCACCAAACAACTGTGCACCAGATCGCGCTATTCCCAGTTTCATTAAAATAACAAATGCTAAATTTGTTGACCCAGGCAAAGTTTTGCATTTAATGCAAAACAAACAATCATGTGGCAAGACATTACCATTGGGTATAAAGAATAACGTTTTATTTGTGATTGATAACAAGCACAATAATACGAGGCAAGCAAATGGACAACAAGCTTTTTATGTCGATGACTATGGAACCTGCTCTGATAAAGCTTCTTGCAAAATGCATCATTACATTGTATCTGAAAAAAAATTGGATTTATATAAAACACTTAAAAGGTAAACGTGTTCCGTTGACCCCCAACCAGTTGGAAACATTATTGTATTTAAACTGTATTACATTTCGCTAAAACGAGAGCCAGCATTTAAAAGACGCTTTTCAACTGTAGTAGCCTGTCCAGATTCTTTGACCAATATTAAAAAAAAACTGCAGTTGTTGAATACATTGGCAAATATCCAACAATTTCTGCGCCTCACGGGAACAGCAAAAAAATACTGCTGAATACGTACGAACATCCCACAACGTGAAACGATGGCTCGACGAGATGATTGAAGGATTCAGTCAACACATTCGTCCCAATTCACATTCGTCCCACGAGACGATTCGTCCCAATTCACATTCGTCCTATTTCACATTCGTCCCAATTCACATTCGTCCCATTTTTTTTAATTTTTGGTCAGCATTACGATCTTGAGCAGGGTCAATTTCTATGTTTGTGTGCAAGAGCTTGACATCGACGTGCGGTATATCCTATGTCTTGTCGTTTTACATTGCAGGTTCGGCCAACTGTTACTGACACGCTAACTAATAACTCCACGTTGCGTGTATGGTGTATTTGTATTTATTAACTAATAACTTGTACGTTGCGTGTACGGTGTATTTGTATTTATTAACTAATATCTTGTACGTTGCGTGTATTTGTATGAATGCTATGAATTATAGGTAACAGATGTAACTTGCATTTCAATTTCTTTTGATTCCACCATTCGCTACTTCTCACTTACATTTTATTGTTAAAGGTGTGTTTTACTGATCTTGCCAAATTATTAGATTATGTTCACATGTCGGCTGTCAACCATGGTATTGAATGAAACTAGTTGTTGCTTGTTGTTAATATTAATAGTGTATTTTTCATGTGATAAATATTCAGATGTAACTTTGTAACTTTCAAATTTTATTTTCACGTTCGAATATGTCCAAGAAAGTTGGTGTGATTTGTTTTAATAATTTATTTATCTTATAAATATATACAACTTCCATGCATGTTCCGTGCATGGAAGATAGTAGGGAAAGAGAGAGGAAAAGTTTTATAACCCAACGTCGGGAAAAACAAAAAGGTGTAACTAACAATTACGCATGCCAGTGCATATACGTATACGTGAACAGTTCATTGTTTGGATGTGTTTGTGCTTATTTGGCGAGTTAGTAGTCGGCTAACCTTAAATCTGACGAATCGACTTTGGGACGAATTAACTTGTGGGACGAATCAACTTGTGGGACGAATCAAATTTTTGGCAAATTAATTTGTGGGATGAATAGACTTGGGACGAATCGACTTGGGACGAATGTGATTTTGGACGAATAGACTGTCCCCCGATTGAAGAAACAAAACCATCACGTGACATAGATATGAAGAAATGGCTCTTGATGGGTCAACTTGTGCCCCAAGAGGTTTGAAACAAGTTCAAAATGCAAAGTACCTTGCTATGAGACGCAATCAACCAGATAACGGACACTACCTACACATTTACCTACACTGGGACTGACTTTATCTTCAATGCAAGCTATCGGAAGACATTAAGGGGACACAGTTTTCAAATATTATTATCGGGTCAGATGAAGAAGCGGCACTAACAAAAGCAGTGAAACAATGTTTACCTGAATCAAATCACGAACTTTGTACTAGACATTTAGAAGAAAATGCTCGGAGGTATTTATCTTGCAAAGTGGGTGCTAATATGAAAACATGGAAGAAAGTGTTAAGTGATATATTTTACAAAAGTGGATTAACATCATGCGACAAAGAACAGGAATTTGAACTCAGTTATTGAACTTACAGACCAATATTCACTCTCATTGACTGGGTTTAAACTCAGACTAGTAATACAACAGACTCGCAACGCCTATTGTTTAAGGTGTAAAATTGTATATGCTATGCGTGCCACACTCTGTAGCATTGGCATAGACATCGTCGAAGTTTACCGAGCACTGGATATTCTGCACACTTTGCGCTCCTTCGGAAATTGCGTATTTCTTCGTAAAACGGATTTGGATATACAAAATATTAAAAAAACGTGAGATGCGTTCTGGACATTTTGACCTTTGCAGCTGTGTAAGAATTTTAAGAATCGACCAAGAATCAGGGGAGTTACAAGTAACTGAATGTCTTAGTGTTTACCTAAAATAGTTTTTGAATATATAATGAGCAACTTTGAAACGATATTTCTCGCTGTTGCAGATTTTGCGGAAGGTTTCCAATATATTTGCGTAGAGAGCTTATCGCTGCATTTTGAACGATCATACTTCTTTGTGTGTTACCCGTTTTGTTTTCGTGTTCCGGGATGCCGAAACATGAGATAGGTAGCTAGTGTCATGTACATATCTCTCTCTGCGTATCAGCGTGATCCAGTAACAGTAAAAACTGGAGGTGCGTTATTTTTGTCGCGTTCGACTTCAAAGTTCATAGTATGCGATCTATGCGTTGTTCAGTGTTTCAATTTTCTATTGTGTGTCAGTATTGTTGCTATTTCGAGTTTCACTGATTTTGTTTGACTTTCGTCATAATTTTGTATAAAAATAGCCCAGTATATTTCTTTTTATTCCTAATTTCAGGAAATGAAAAACACGAGATCGATCAGGGGTTGCAAAGTTCTACAGAGAAATTGTCATTATCTTCGTCAAAATGTTCTCCTAAAATAGCTTCCCACTCGTAATTATCGTCTTCAGATTCACAAAATTTTTCCGTAAATGCCATTTTCGAAGTTCACTGACAACTCCTGTCGTCTATGTCACTTCCTGTCTTTATGTCTCGCGATGCATCGCGATAGTTGATTGTATTATGAATAGATCTCGCGTTATTTTGTGAAATATAATGAAAATGTTGTTGCTCAGCAACGTTTACTCGGTACGATAAGAACTGATAACATAAACAAACGTGGCACACATTACTTCAAAAGAAAACGTCGCGTTGCGAGTCTGTTGTATTACTAGTCTGAGGTTTAAACAACATTTTGTAAAAATTTCACAAAAAATTCGTTCCAGAGTTTTTCACCCATGTCAAAATAACAAGTAGATTCCGTGTGAATAACTCGTGTGAATCCATGAATCACATTATAAAACTGCGAACAAACTGGAAAAATATGAAGATGCCTGATTTGATTGATTGATAGGTTATATAAAATAGTGAAACTGCAGCAAATAGATTGTAGATGGGCTTTACGTGGCCATGGAACTTGCACCTTGGATGTCAAAGTTTAAAGTCAAACACGTACATTGGACCCAGGAACCTGAAGTGAACAAGCAGCCTCTCGGCTGAGATAGCTCCGCTGTTAGCAATGCACATTTCAATTAAAGAACTGAAGATATCATTAGAAAATGAACAATATGCATAGTATCAATGCAATGGGACTTCAAAAATATAATTTTTAACCATAAATGGTTGT